AAAAAAAAAAAAAGCAACTCTCAGATCATCCAACATAAACCGAGAGAGGTATTAAAAACCTGAGGTGATCCAGCCAAGGAAGCCTTCTCAGTTAATCTGTCGAACAATTTCTCATTCTCTTCATGTAACCTCTGCCAGAAAGAAGAAAGCAACAAGAGAAAGAAGTTAACAAGCTCAGTCTTCTAGCATGATAAGAATTAAAATGCTAGCAAAGACACATCGTAACTATTCCAACTTCTGCCTCAGTAGCCCACGAAGCATAATTGCCAACCATGTTCCTTACAAGGAGGTAAAATGTCTAAAAAAAAAAAAAGAATAAAAAAAAAATCAGTCTGTTAACACAATAAAGTACCTCAATGAGTGCATCCCGTTTTTTGAGTTCGTCCTCAAGTCTTCGGGTAACTGCAGCAGAATCCATATCATCACTTCCGGCTTTGTTGCTTGAAAGCTCTCCAGCCTGAGATCCAGGGCTATTTGATGATCTAGGCTGACTCGAAAGAGCTTCGTTTAGTTGTGACTCAACACTCTTCAGTTTGGCCTACATAGAAGTATCAAGAGGATCAAACATCTGATCTGATCATAAAGTTATCTTTCGCTAAGGTTGCTACTTGAAATGTTGTGATTTATCACTCCTAGCAAATCATAACCTCAAAAGAAGAAACATTTGTATAAAGCCAGAACAATTCATGCATTTGTATCACATAAAGTTTCCGACATTGGCGCACAACACAACTGTTGACCACAATTTGAGGCCAGCTAAACATATTTCAATATTAGGTGCTGCACTCCCAATTCCCTTGGATATGTATTATCAATAATGTTCCTTGAACGACACAAAAAGATTAAAAGCGCACAAACATTACTTCGAGGAATGTACACAATTCATGGTCAATTATGGACCTTGAAGGTTTAGCATAAAGTGTTTTTTCTTTTTTTTAATCTAATTTCTACTGCAAATTATGCTCAACCAAGCATCTAATTTATAAAACACCATCACTTGCCAATGAAAACTATAGTGACCCTTTAATATTATGCAGTTTTGAAGCATATGTGAAGTACACAACTAATTAATGATCCTAAGTAAAAATATAAACCAAAATTAAGAATGTTCCACCAGAAACAAAAAGGAACTATCTGACTACTATGTTCTGCTTTTTTACAAAGCGTGATATGTAGTAATTCAAACCCTCTAAAAGCTAAAATGCATTAGTCAATACGGAATGATGAAAAACAAACTAAGATTTGAAAAAACAATTAATGAAGGTTATTTGAACCAACCTGTAACATCTGAATCGCTGAATCTCTTTGTTCTATCAGCAGTTTCTGTTCTTGCTCCGATTGTAATAATTGAGCAATTTGATTTCTTAATTGCATATTTTGTTCCTTCTCTATCTTATGCTTATCAGCAAGCATTATATTCTCTGCCTGCAAAACAAACATGAGACAATTTTTTTTTTGTTAGAAATAATCCTTCTTACAGAATGATGTAAGACTCTAGAATCAGAATCCACATATTATCCAGACTCAAGAGAGTTCTGCATAATTGATATATTTTCACACACATCAAGAAAAATTTTGTTACAGACATTGAAGATGCATTGTGAAAGGAAATTAATAAACATGAATGCATTGATATGTCCATAGCATAATTAATATGTTTTCTCACCAAAGGCACCTGAAGGCGCGCCTCTTCCAAAAAAAATCTAGACCTAGGGTTTTTAAGGAACATGAAGGCACTCATATGTCCCTAGAAACGAGAGGTGCAACACTTAGAGAATGAACTGTACAAACTTATTAGAGTGAATAGTACAAATAAAAAGCCAATAACCAATGGAGTCCAAAAGAATAAGGGGAAATCTTTGGAGAAAAAAAAAAAACCAACGGATAGCTACGGCTTGCTTCCTTTACATATGCACATAAAAGCATTGTCAATCCAGCTAAAAGCATCCTATACCACCACAAATGGGAGATTGTCTTTCTGAAGGAGTAAAAGCAATTACTATTAAATGAATCCATTATTTGTAACACAAGATATGCAACACATGGTACCACTTTAAAGACCACTCATAACTGATGAAACAAAGTAATGAAAAGTTAAAGGATATCTTATCTGAACAATGATGATCTCTTGGACTGTATCAAGTTTTAAGTTGATCAAATGTTCAATTAGTTGATATCTGCCGTACAAACTTCTCATTATAGCTTGTCCACACAACCATCTCTCTAACAATGTACTTTTAGGGCATGGCTCAAGAACTCAAGACGATCCCATTAACTTCAAAAAGATAAAATCGGTTGGCAAGCCAAATTTTCCCTAACTAGCCAGCACAATGTGAACAATGGTATGGATTCTTATTTAGCAATTTACAGTGAGAGAGAGAGAGGGGGGGAGGGAGGGAGAGAGAGAGGGAGAGAGAGAGGGAGAGGGAGGGAGAGAGAGAGAGAGAGAGAAATACTATAAGAACATTGAACGTTCAAAAGCATGATATAGCAAACCTTTAGATCTGACTGCAATGTGAAAGAAACCTTCCAGGCTTTCTGAACTTCATTGAAGAGTAAAACACATTGGTCGTTGGCATGCCTTAAATCTTGTTTTAAGCCCATACTTTCTAACTTCAAATCGCTAATTTCCTTTTCCTTTTCAAGCAATTCTTTTCGTGCATCATTGGCCTACAAGAAACGTTGAAGCAGACTAAATGTTGAAGCAGAAATTTATTAAAGAAACCATCACAACAAACCATCTTTACATTCATTTAGTATTAGCACGCATCACAAAAATAACCACTGATCACAATGAAAATGACTGAAGTTTTTCCAACTTTGAGAGACTATAGACAACATGGCAAAAGGCAAGGTAGTTTTCTGACAAGAACTTAATGCATATAAAGCATGGTCAAACTAACATATTATTTTGCTCTTCCCAATTAATAGCAAAACTTGTGCATGCTGGCATGAAAAATGCCAGCATTTTACATAACACAAGTACGAGTTAGGAAAACTTACAACATCTTTCCATTTCTTGATTGTATCTCGATTCCCAAGGCTCAACATAGCATTTCGGGCTCTAGCAGAAAAATTAAGGGATGATAGTGTTTCAGACATGCTTGCCATGTTAGGGCAAATGTTAACAACCACCAGCGTTTTGGAGCTTCCACCTGCATAATGAAATGCATATTCAAAAAAAGACAGAGCATCGGAAAAAGGATGATCCATGACCATGAGAATTCAATATATAATTAGAAATAAAAGAAAATGTTGAACACCAGAAGAAGTACCGAAACAACGACAGCCATGCATGAATATATCTTGATTTGACTTGAATTTTAAGGGCGTGATTGGATATGACTTATGATCCAACTCAACCGGTTATAAGCGGTTGAGTCATTTCATATCCAATCACCTAATTCAAAATCCAACTCAACCCAGCTCTCCTACTTTTTATAAATATAATTAAATAATATCAATCAATCATTATCACAAATCAAATCAACTTTAATTCACTATTCATCCACTCACATAATTTTAACTATTTCTCACTTCCTCTAATCTCTCTATTACTTTTACATCATATCAACTTTAACCATTACATTTTAAATATTATTTAATTTCAAGACTACTTTATTAATAACTCACTTTAACTCACCAAGTTGGATCCATGTAGTTAGTTTCAAGATGAAACGGTTCAGATTAGTGTGCATTTCAAACATAGGGAAAATTCTCTTCTAGACAGGTTGAAGGGACTTGAACGGTCCTAAGATACTCTATAACTAGTTTTCACTTTCATAGAGTGAAACAACCAGTCTTGCAGGTCAACCCTTTTTCAGATCATCCAGCAAGTGATTTCACAACTCTATCCGCATACAATGTGGCATATACTCTCATTCTTGAGATACTTTATGTTCTAACTCAGCTATTTATGTCTTTAGAAAGGCTTTCGGAGAATTGTCGAATGAAGAGCGTGCATATTCTCATGACAGAGTTACATTTTTGTACAAACCCACAGGATTCAGGCAGCTTTAAATACAACACATAGACTATGATTACTTTCCCAAGTCAAGAAAGGTCAGTCAATTGTCAAACTCTTGGCACAAACTTCACACCAAATATGACAATGGAAATCTGCAGGCCGGGAAGTAATGAAAGATAAAAATGCCAGGAAAAGTTACTTAACTCCACGAGACACCTTTTTTATGTGAATTCGCAAGATCAGAACATAAATCACAGGGAAACAAGATCATAAAACATTTAAAAGGAAAAAGTTACCCAGTGAGTCTGCGAGAACTTTTGTAAGTGCAGAGTTTTCGTATGGAATATCATCCTTCTCAGAGGTCACAGATGCCAAAACATCGCCCAATCTGCACATAAATCGATACAATGATGAAGGAGAACAAAGGGAAAAAGTTGAGAAAAAGAAAGTTCGATAGGACTAGAGTAAAGTAAAACCTATGGTCCTCACTCGTTTTAACAAGCATATAACTCCACTTTAACTGAAATAATATAACCATCACATCGAAATCCAAATAACGCATTGCTTAGCATCAAATATAAAAATGAGGCAATTAGGCTTTTCTCCACCATTCTCATTCACGGAAGAAAACACTATATCACGAACATACATACAAAGACACAAAGTGCAACAGTATCAGCATGGGTAACAATGAACAAACAGTCTGTTGCACCGTAAGATTCCAATAAAAGCTGTATAAAACAAACCAACTAGCAAAATCTATCCAGCTGCAACCCACAGCAAGTCAAAATGGTTTAGCATGTTCATAAATGAAAGGAGATCGGAATAAGAGCATTGAATTCATAATAATCACCCATTTCAAAAGCAGCAAGGTAAGGTGCCTACAAGTAGATAAATAATCGCACTAGTACTGAAAGAACAAAAGGATTTTCACTTACGCAGAGAGAGACTTTAGGACATGCAACAACACTGTTGCACGTTCACCGGTTTCTTCCTCCACACTTTTACTCTCACTTCCAGCTAAATCCACCAGAGAAAGCTTGCTATATATGTTCTCACCAGTAATCAAGTTCTTATAGTATATGTGTATCATGACAATCCTAAACAACACAATCGACAGAAAAAAATAATTCAATTAGATGAATGTAAAAGACTGATATATTTCCTTTTCAAGAAGAAAGCAGGACAAGAAGAACATATCTCTTCAAATCGCAGCCGTTTGGTTAAGAAAATTACATGAAATGCCTTGTTAGGCAAAGAAGTTTTACATATTCTAGAAAATGAATTCAGTTACGGAAGAACATGCAAAAATAATAGAAACTAAATTACATGGGACAAGGCATACTTCTGTTGTTTTGAGATTCATATGGAAAACTGTGGAGATCAGTAAAGGTTATCTTCCTACTAAACTTTTAGACGTAGAAAAGAATGGAAAACCATAGTTGCACTGTTGCAGAAAGTCCTATACACAAAGACGACGTTAGAAGATCCTCAACATCGCAAGTCGTTCCATTTCAATCACTTATAAGTCCAACCTTGACAGCCCCATCTGAAAGATCACCCTTATCTTACTATCAACCTGATAACTTCTATGATTCATATGTAAACCTCCCTAAGGCTAAACTTCTTCCACAATGGAGAAGTAATGAACTTTGCAACTAAAACCTCTCAATGAGAACATCAGCAATCATAACCAATCACCCACTCTGATTAGTTGCATCCTACTAGCCTTCTATTAGATACACGTGTACAAAGATGTGTAGGAAAAGATTGGGAAGATAATGTTTCTAAAAAGTGAATTTTTATTTCTTTAAAGACAGATATAAGACCAAATGACGCCAAAGGAATAGAGGTCTCTGACACTGGCACTGCCTTTGAACTTTAGATCAACAATACATGAGTAAGAGTTTCCACTGTCAGAGTTACACTTGTGACACATACTCACAAGTAAATAGTCACAGCTAATCAAAGAAAGTTTGTCACTAGCCCATCTTAGCTGGTGATCCTGTTAGAAGTTATGTACATATGTTTGTCCCACATCGATTAGTTATTGGGTTGTTATTGTATAGGGTTGGGGAACCTCTCCCTTTGAACTAGCTTTTGGGGATGAGTTCTACTCAGGCCTCTTTATCATGGTATAAGAGCCCCCAGGTTTGTTTGTTTGTTTGGAAGAAATGATGGTTTTGTACACATTACGTGTGAGAGCGGGTGTTAGTGTTATGTTAGTCCCACATTGGTTAGTTACTGGGTTGTTATTGTGTACAAGTGTGGGTTCAATACTCTCTCCCTTTGAGCTAACTTTTGGGCATTAGTTCTACTCAGGTCCATTTATCATATCCAACGATAGAAATACACTCTCCTAAGAGAGCCAAATATAATCAACAACGAGGATCTGCTGATTCATTATGTTAGTGTGCTAAATAAGACCTTCCAATTTCAAACTACTCCAAAGTCGTGATCAGAATGTTTATTTCATAAATGCAGATGGAAAGTTTTCCAGTTGTTTATAAATTAATGGCTGACATTCTTCCGGTTGAATTCCATCACAAAAGAAACATAATGGAGAACCAATGTCAAGATAAAACATGTCACATAAAAAAACATATATAAGTAGAATATGCCTCAAGTTAATAATGTAGTATAGTATAATGGGCATAAACCATACAGATGAGAAACTTTGAACTTTAAGGCATCAGTTCCTCGATTTTGGAAGGCTGCTTTGAGAACTTTGGAAAATTCTATTGGATTCTCAACTTTTTCCTGCACAAGTTCCACAGTGTAATCGAATGACCCGATACAGACCTTTGATACTGCATTTCCAGATTCCAAAAGCAAATCTGTTATCTGCAAAAACATTATTAGGTCCAAAATATTAGATATTTAAACATTATTAGCTTTGTCTTTCACCTCCTTTGGAAAGTGTCTCCCATTCTCGCATTGGTTGAGACATTTAAATAAAAATTGAACCTAACCAAAATCCATATTCCCTACATCTTCTGAGCAAAAAGCATACACTTAACAAAGCATCCCAGATAGTTTTATAAGAAAAGAAATTGCAACGTCAATCATGTTTAATGTTAATAGATTAAAGTGACACTGAGAGTCTAGTAATTTCTTCAGAAGAGAAAAAAGTTAGTGAAGTCAACTTAAAAGTTACAATGTCTCTCGGACGCATAAGTAGAAATTTTAGTTTTATCTGTGCATAAAATATACTCCCTCCTATTTTTAATAAATGTCGTTATGAGAAGTTGCACAATAATTCAGAATCATTTTTTTGCCAATAATAACCCTCATTAATGAGTATAGAGATGGATGTTTTGAGAAAAGATGAAGAGTGAATATGAAAGACGTAGTGTATTTATTAGATAGATGAGGGTAATAATGGAAAAATATGTATAAAAGATCCAAAACGACATTTATTTAGTAAATTGTTGACAAAGTCAAAATGACATTTAAAAAAAATAGGAGGGAGTATATGATTTCAAATTATAAAATAGAGAGAATTTCGGTGCATCAATTACATGTAACTGCACATTATAATTTCAATAGTGGTCTCACATTTTCTTATTGATCTTGAGTCATGTTTTCAAAATAATGAAATGTCTTTTAATTTTGCATAAACATTTAGTTGATATTGCCTTAATCAATGTGCCACAAAAAGAAAAAAATCTGCAATCAGCATTGCAAATCGATAGGAGCAGTTTCATAGTTATTAGGGCTAAAGGTTTTGAACTGACAAAAACCAATTCCTTTGGAATCATTGATGTAACAGACTAGATGGAAGGATATTCACCAAGAATCCGAAGATCAAAGGGGAAAGATGCCAAAACTTCGACCATCATCAGAAATATGCAAATAACCCACCAAAAAGACGTTGAAGTGAAGCAAGCATTATATTAAACAATTCTGTCACTGAAGGAAATAAACCTGCTCATTATAAAGCTCAAAGACTGAAACTGAGAAACTGTAACGACAAACTGAAGTAGCATCCGAGTTCGATAAGTCAAAAAGCTCTTCAAAAGATCGAGCATATAAACCACGGTCGTGGCTAGATCCTTCCTGCCAGAATATGGTATGTCAGCATCATGAGGAAGACATATCATCAAAATTGAATGTATTTATGTGACCAATGCCAACACATAACCAGAAAACAGGGAACAAAATGCATGATTTTATGCAAGTACTAGGTGTCATAAATATTTAAGTTTCGCTGGATGGCCAAAAAAGGACAGAAAGCCAACAGAAGATGCATCGACCATCATAGAAACAGATTCACTGAGTCGAACTCAAAAAAATATTGAAGAACTGAGAGAGGGACAAAAAAAGTGACCATAGTATGCGTCTTCCCTGAGCAGGTTTGTCCAAATGCAAACACAGAAACATTGTATCCATCAAAAGCGGACTGAACAAAAGGCTGAATATCAGCAAAAAGATTGGCTGCCAAAGGAAGTATATAAGTTAACAGAGTAGTTTGACCAGCTGAAATAAATAAATTGAATCACCAACAGGAACGCTACCTTGCCCAATATGAGGTCCATAAACTCTGTCGAACTCAAAATCCTTCTTGGGATTGGAGAGACTATCATCCCCAGTATTTAAGCGAACTGTATAATCATCAGGAAATTCAACAACATATGGACCTTCATCTTCAAAAAGTGGCCTTGCACGACAAAACACCTTTACATTTCCTGTAGTTAGTAGGTCCAGGTTCAGCTAAATGTGATGATCAAAAGAAAGCTTTTCACAATAATATATATCTTTGAATGTATCAGAAAAGGAAAACTCGAAAAGGAAAGTGTAATCTTGAGGACAAAAGTCAGCACCTTTGGCCGTCAATAAATCATTAAATAACTTTTTCTTCTCAGAGAGCAGTGGAGAAATTCTAGCTTCTGCTTCCAGGGCAGCCTGATCTGAGATTGGGCATAATTTCTTTCCAGTCAATCAAATTGATTAAAAAAATAGTCAAATTTACTTCATACGACACTAGAAAGGCAGATATACTCTTATATAGAAAAGTTAGCATTTGGAGAAGAAGTCGTTGATAATAATATGTAATCAAGTATCTTGATGTACACAATTATAGAAGGTAAACGCGAGGAGGATCACCACTAAACAATCGCAAATGAATGTAAAAGTTATTGCAGGAGAAGAGTAAGTCCTTCAATCATTGCTAGTTATTCTGACAACCAGTATAGAAATTTGTAGTAACTACTCATTGAGTCATTAGTCTATCTTCAACACAATTTCTTGATCCAAAGTGATAGATTTTACCTAGCTTGCGAGTCTTATTAGCAAGTGCACCTAAGTATCGTGTCACCCGATCAAGTTTTGCACTTGAATAATCTTGAAGATCTATAGCTTCTTGCCTCAACTGCAGAAAATCTTCTCTGACAAGCTGCGCAAACAAAGCAAAGAACCAGTTTGGCATGCAAAGTTGGGGAATAGTATGGTATGCTTGTATCACACAACAGGGGAAAATAAATGACGTGTCATACAGATTATATGAAAATTATGGAGAAGCTAATGATTTTTAAGAAATAAGAAGGCAAGTAAACCTCAGTTTTCTGCATTAATCTCAGATTATAGTGAACTCAAGTTCGCGACTATTAAAATTTCAACCAAATAATTTCCAATATGAGAAAAACACAAATTTGTGGTACTAAAATTTCTCCCACCTCTCTTGTCATGAAATGAGTCTCTTGCCAACTTTGTATATCATAAATAACTACTAATGTATCTTTTCTCTGATGCACATAAGACATAGACATAAGCCTCCTCATTTACCACTGATATCAAAAAATAACTTACAGAGTTGCCATTATTCAATTGTATCAAAGACTACCAATCAATTCAACTAAAAACATAAACTTGGCTACATTTATGAAGTTTGTATAAATCAGTAATGGAACATTGTATGTGTTTCAAATATCCGAGTTCACTACGTCCTAAAACACTCAAACATTTGCCAATTTAGAGCTTATTTCGCAGAAATGAGTATTAGAAAGCTTCCATACTTACAAAAATCCCAATAATCGGATACATTACAAACACAGCACCACCTGTATTACCGCTAGGACAGAGCAAAATGTATAAATCATAAGACTTTCGTCTCAGATGCTTAAAAAGAAGTTTATGAACTTGTTCCCATTAAAAACATCACCACTAAACACTTCAAAGCACCAACACAACGATCAATAAAAAGAGGGAGGAAAAAAAATGCAATACGGATGGACATACTAACCACTAGACAACTGAAATCAGCTGGTTAAAAACATGGAAATAAAAGAAAATAACAACAAAAATAGTGTACAAGATTTGAAAGCTAGGACACCTAAGAATCATTCAGAACAAAAANCTTAAAAAAAAAAAAAAAGGGCACCTTCACTTTGTCTTTCAAGCGCAACAACTTGGAGTTAACCGCGTGCTTCGAGAGCTCAGAATGCGACGAAATGGACATCGAGTACCGCCGCCCAGTGGACGGCGGCGCCACCGTTGGCTTCCTGTAATCTTCTCTCTGCTCCACCGATTTCCTGGGCTCGAACCCCGCTACCTCCCAATTCCACCGGCTATTAGTGCTCCCCCTCGGCTCCCCCATTTCCAAAAAACAATCACCACCCAAATTGACCTCAAAAGGCTCCAATGGAAAAGCAGAAGAAATTCAGAAAAAAATAGCTAAATGAGAGAACACGGGGGCTCCTCATAGATGAAGAGAGGTGAGTTCACAGAAACACACGAGCTCTCTTTCAACTCTTCTATGTGCCACTGATTTATGTGGCCTTGAATTCTTTCTCTACGGTTTTTGGCGTAATCCAATTCAAAANAGAAAGAAATAAAGAAGAAAGGTAAAATCTTAAAAGGGGTGGGGGTGGGGGAGATGGTGATGGAGCCCACGGCGTGTTTGGAAGGCTGGTTTGGAGGACGCCACATATGAAATATGAACAATTTTTTTCCAAAGATATAGTTTATGAATAGAAACACATAACTATATACTAGACTGGCGGTGCACAAAATGCGGTTAATCGAATTGAACTGATTGAAACCGAATATTCAGTTTGCACCGAAACCGAAATCGAGACTTCACTTTTAATTTGGGTGTTACTATCTACCTCCCTCTTATTAATACGAACCGCCCCTGAACAATTTGCCCCTGACATTTTTTCTAAAGACTTAAAAAAAATAATAAAAAAAAACAATCTGCCCCATAACCGTGTACGGCCGTTTTTGCCGGTTTCAGTTTTGCCGGTAGGCCGCGCAATTTGTTTTTTTAATAATCAAACTTTTATTTATTATATAAATAATCAAACTTTTATTTATTATGATAATCAAACTTTTATTTATTATGTTAGAATATAGAAATTATTATGTTATAAATTAGAATTTATTATTATTATTATAATAGAAATATTTATTTCTGGAAAAAGTACAATTTTAACTTATAACTATAAATCGTTATACTATTTAATGTATATTTTTGTTAGTAGACAATAATTATAAATGTTATATTATTTTCTTACAGCTAATTAGTATTTTGCTACAGATAATTAGTATTATGTTATTAATAAAATTCTATAAGATAATCAATTATAATTTATAATATAATAATTTCTAAATTCTAACTATAAGATAATAAATTCTAATTTATAACAAAATAATTTCTAAATTCTAACATAATTTCTATAATAAATAAAATTTTTTAAAAAACTTTAGGGACAATAAGTAGTAAAAAGGAAGTGGTATTTAGTAATCCACTTTCAATTTCTATTTTTTTATATTTTCAGTTTTCGGTTCGATTTTAATATAAGTGGTTGGTCAATTAAACCGAACTGTCAATGAATAATATATTTATATACTTTGTCTAATTGTCTATACATAATTCATTATCTATGGATCTACCCAAGCCCATTTGGCCATTTCATAGGCCCATTCGTATTATATATTTAAGAGAAAACTAAAGCCCATCATAATTTGTAATTTTGTATCAACCACCGGGCACCCCAACTCCCAAGCCCCATTTGTAATTTGAAATTACACTCTACCAGGCTACCAGCTATTTATGTTATATAACATAGCTATTATTGATGGCACCGGCACGGGACACCTACACTACACTATTTACAGAAGAAAGTGCAAGATAGGTATTAGGTAGTACGTAATGAACGAATTAGGAAACTAAAAAATAGTACTCATATTTCACTTTTTTCTCACACTCTTTTGTGTTTCGTCAAACTATATTCCGCCATAAAAAAGTTGCCAAAATTAGTGCGGTTTGTGTAGCCATATGACTCGAACGAGTGCTTTATCGCTCAATAATTTTATCATATTCATATCAATTAATCAGCTCAACTGCCTAAGAAAATATGGCAACACAGCCAGTTAACTAAAAGATTTTGAATTGTTTTTGTCATATATAGTAAATGGTATATCTAGAACAAATGTGAATAGTAAATACATTAATTTGGAAATAATAATGATAAATAATTGAGCATCATGCAAACAAATCTTGCTATTGCTGGACCGGTTATGCTTGAAAAAATGTAACATGATAGCTAATGAATTATGTTCAGCTATAAAGAATCACTTTCCAAAATTATTGAGGCACATTTATATTTTTAGCTGGAAGGACTATAATTTTTGGTACTCACCACGGCCATTTGGCTCTACAAGTACAACATCTAACATACACTGCTATGAATGTGATCGTATACGGTATATATATATGCATTGAAGGTAGATAGAGATGTTAAATGGTCCTTGGCCCGATGGGCCAGCCCGTTTAGCCCGGTAAAAAATAGGGTTAGGGTCTTTAATTGGCAGCCTGTTTAAATCCGGGTTTTTTAGGCCCGAACCGTTTATCTCGAAGCCCGTTAGGGCTAGCCCGAAAACCGCTAGGGTTGGCCCATTTTAACTTGGGTTGGGTAGTGTATATGCTTTTAGAAAGGTAAGGATTATGTCTCATGATTCCTTGTATATTACAATTTTGCTATTCTACTTCACATGTAATTATGAGTTATAATGTATTATTATAATTTTGATAGATAATTATTAACAAATTTTATTCTATTTCACAGCAAAATATTTAAGTTAATCAGATCTGCTAATAAAAACAAATGAAAGACCTAACACATAGAATATAGTGATAAAATATAAATTTAGCAGTATGCTATATTGTGAAAATTCCCGAAGCGTACCAAATAACTAGTCAAATGTTAGTTATAAGTAATAGTTCGAACATTTTTTTTCTATTGAGAAACAATTAATTACTACAAAATAATTGGCTTTAGGTAGCAGCAAAGAAATAATACGTAAAAGCTATAAAATGTTAAGTAAAAACTATAAAATGTTACTATAGACAATAGGTAACACAATATTGGCGTTGCAATTGTTTGTTCTACCATAAAGTCAATGGTAATATTTTGGGTAGTTTTTAGTAACACTTATATGATACTTTTGCTAATTTTTAGTAACACTTATATTAAAAGTGTTATAATAATATGATACATAAACCAATAATATGATACATTTATAAAGTATTACAATAAATGTTGCTACCTAAAGTCATTTATGTTGTAGTATGTTATTTAAGAGTTTGTAATGTGTGTTCATATATGAAGTGTAGTTGTATATATATTGTGGTAAATACTAAATAGTCGTTGAAAAAAACAGTTACCTAGGTGTTGTAATTTATTATTATTATTATTATTATTATTATTATTATTATTATTATTATTTATTATTATAGCCCGTATAGCCCGTTTAGCCGAATCCCGCTAGGTTTAGGGTTAGGTCCTTTTTTTGGTAGTCCGTTTAAATCCGGGCATTTTAGGCTCGGACCGTTTAGTCCGAAGCCCGCTAGGCTAAGCCCGAAACCGTTAGGGCTAGCCCGTTTAACATCTCTCAAAGTAGACGTGGCCACGGGCCACCCGGCCCAGACCCGACCCAGTCAAACACATTGACCACTCGTCCGAGTCCGGCACGAATTTCATTTAATTCTTCCAATTATTATATCATCCCAAAATTCATTATTTCTTTAATAAGAATTGAAATTAAAATTATCATTGTATTTAAAAAATAATAATATATAATTTATTGACATGTAATTAATTTTTCTATTAAATAAATTATGATAAAGTTAATAATATTTTGATTTTAAAAAATAAATAATAGAATTTTATATGTAACATGCTTCCGTAATTTTATATAAAATAACATATTATCAGGTGGTACAATATTTAAGTTCTATGTTTCGTAATTTTTTTTAAGTAAGACTTTACATCGACACGTAATTAACACTCTATAATTATAAATAATGCAACATAATTATATATAATTATGTATAATTATATTATTTTTATATGTATGTATGATAAATATATGAAATATTTAGAATATTGAATTAAAAAAAAAAGTGGAGTTGTATTTTCTAAATATTATTAAAAATATAAGAGTATAATATTAATTAAAAGTAAGTGAGAAATATGTATGACCCATTAAAAAAAGTAGGTTTATGAGTTTTTTTGTTATTGGAAGTTTATGAGCGTAGGAGTAAGAATGAGGTTTTGGATGATTTGGAGTTTTGGAAAGTGAAAAATAAGGTTTTGGGAGATTTATTGTTAAATATGCTCTTATGTGAGTAGATGAATAGTGAAATAGATGTGATATGTAATGATGATTGATTAATATTATTTAATTATATGAATGAAACTGAGGATAATGGAGTTGGTTAATGCTGAATTAAATTTGAGCTTTGATTGGTATTTTACTAGACGAATTTATTTCCAATCACACCCTAAAGCTTCATCTCTGGATTCATGATCATATTATTCGTCGGTAGTCAGAATCGTCATCGTCGGAGGAGCTAGCATCATTGTCGGCTTCATCCTCTATCTACAAGTGTTAAATTTCTTGTGGCCATGGTTGTGGGTATTCATAAAGAAGAGAGAAGAGACGAGATGAAATAGAGAGGAAAAAGGATAAAGAATGAAGAGGAAATAAACGAGTTTTAATGGTGAGAATGATAAAAAAAACAAAAAGGAAACATTATATAAGTAGAAATTAAATTAAGGAATGATTGTGTAAATAGTGGAATAAAAAAAACAAATACATAGTGTCATTATTTCCAATAATATTTAACGCATGCAAACACTAGTGTATGTATATGAAATATCTCAATCTTTACTCAATTTATATTTAAAATCTAACTTAACTTTAACTCAACTCCACTATCCTCAATATTGTCAATATATTTAAATAATATCAAACAATAATTTTTACACATCACATTAACTTTAATTTACCATTCATCTATTCACATAATTTTAACTAACTATCACTTCATACCACCTCTCTCCTACTTTTACATCAAATCAATTTTAATTATTTTATTTAAATATTATTTTAAAATTAAAATCCCATTAACAACTAACCATACCAGTTTTTTTTTTCAAAATTAACTTTGGTTAACAAAAAAACTCATTTTGAGCGGAAATTTTTCTATACAATCACACCCTAATATATGGCTAACAATTTATACATATATATATAATTACTAGCAAATTAATTAATAAAATCTCTTTTTTTTTTCTTCCAAAAGACGTTATAAAAATCTATCATTAATATTGCGTTCTTCTTCACTTTATTCCACTTTTATCTAAATGTTACAATCAATATTATTCAACTTTTATATGTAATGTAATTTATAATATTCTTACGGAATTTTAGTCATTTGCGTTTCCTCAACACACTTAACTATATTTTATTTTATTTTTAATTTTTAGTTTAAAATCATATATTAGCAAATTTAACTGGGCCAATTTAATTTAATAAAAATCCAGTTTTTTAGTTTTTGGATTTTTCATTTATGTAATGAGAATGTTTAAAAGAATTATACAATAATATTTTATTACACAGAAAGTACAAAATCAATAAATTAGTGATATGCTCATTATCTAAATTATAATTAGTAATATGTTCGAAGAGTTAAATAGTTCTTGTTTATATCGTTCATTTTTAATACTGATAAACTATAAATTGTGATATGCTCATTATTTAGATCATAATTTTAAATATTACATACACACATATAACATATAAAAATTTATTTGCATTTGCGCATGTGCACAAGATCGCATACTAGAAAGTGTAAAACTCAATCCAATACCAAAAACCAAAATAATGATTAGTCATTAATTATTATTATATCAAATAAAATGTTACAAAATGTATATATAAATGTATATAAAATATATAAGTGAAACAATTATATTTATTAGTATTATTTTTATTTTGAAAACCATGATATTTAGTTATTTACACCTCTTCTATATTTATTGTCTAGCAAAAAAGTAGATAACGAGTAAGAGGAGAGATTTGGAAGGGAACTCTTGTTTCACCCGAAAAAGGACCCCTCTTTGGCTTCCCCTTAATAGTGAAAGACTTTTTTCACATATTAAATCCCAACACACACAGACACACACACACAAACTCTCTCTCTCTCCTTCAGTTGTCACTCAACCAAATATCAGCAGTACAGTTTACAGTACCACTCTTTGATTTTCCATTTCCACCCCCAAATTATAAATGACACATCACACAGTACAGATTCACACGCTGAAACACACGCACAAACACAGGTCCTCTCACAATTCGTACACCCACCTAATGAAACTGGTACCCCCACCAATAAATCCTCTAGCTATTTCACTGTCAATTCAATTTCAGCCTTTCAATTAGGGTTCTCCTCGCCGAGTAATAAATTCCCTCCGGCGGATATTTTGTTCCCCAGGCTGTTCGATTTGGCCGGCGAATATATAGTTTCGGTTGTTTATTATTTCTAATTGTTAAACCAAATACTTGAAGAATTATGGTGAGAGAGAAAATCCAGATAAAGAAGATCGATAACGCGAGCGCGAGGCAGGTGACGTTCTCGAAGAGAAGGAGAGGACTCTTCAAGAAAGCCGATGAGCTCTCGGTCCTCTGCGATGCTGACGTGGCTCTGATAATCTTCTCCTCCAATGGAAAGCTCTTTGAATATGCTAGCTCCAGGTCTCTCTCTCTCTCTTCCCTGATATCTTTTCTTCTTTTTATATTTTATTTTATTTTCCTGTGGTAATAGCTTCATAGAGCAGATGAACAAAGATATTTTGTTCCCTTGTTTGATAAACTGAGGCGTTGTTTCTGTCAGCCATAGCCCATAGGCACAGATGGAAAATAAATAAATAAATAAATTATACTGGTCGTTTATTAAATATACTATATATCGGTATAAATATATTAAATATCGGTATACCTTTTTCAGGTCATGGTCATGGCAAGTGCAAATTATGTGCTGTCTGGTTTTCTTCTTGGGGAGTGTATTATTTTTTATATATTTATTTTTATGATGCTTAGCTTTATTCTATATTTTTTTGCCGCAATTGGTACGTAGCTCCCCCTTGTCAACTTATTTTTCCATAAAATAATATGTGTAAGTTATGATATTTTGCTTCAGGTTACTGACGAAACACTCGAGCACTCAAATCATGTTTATTTTATTATTATCCACCAAAATTATTATTGGGACCTAAAACGGTTTGGACGGCCCATCATTGGGTAGTTTGGCGTTGTAAAACTTTTTTAATTACTATTTTTATCAACTTTTAATTTAATGTAAGCTGTTCAGGGAAATAGTGGGTTTTAACTCACACCATTTTGGTCACCTCACCTCAAAATATGAACGCATCTTTGTGACATGGGTTAGGATAAAAATAACACAAATTAATGTCTCAAGTTTGATTTTACTTTTTGAACGAAACATATATATTTATACTATTAAATGTCACATTTTTATTTGTGTTTTGTTTTTTAAAATATGATATTTTGTAATGCAAGGATTCATATTAATGAAAAAAAGTATGACTATCTAATGATTAAGCCTATCAATAAATAAAATTAAGAACAATGGTTTTGATGGGCTATTTGATAGTATTTTTCGGTGGAAGTCAGTATAATAGACTATGGGATCATGTCAGGTCTCTTAGGTTATGAATGAACGAGCTTTGATTGGTTTATATAAAGATAATCAAAAGGAAAAGTGGAGTCCTTAGAGTGGTTGATTTATGATCATGAAGCTTGGGATGTTCTATAAATATAACTAATATTTACCTTTTTACTATTTATCAACACATTTCCCAAGTAATATAAAAGGAAAGAGTTTGAGATGAGCTTGTAGCACTTGGTTTTAGTGGTGACCTCCTTATTGTACCTTGTGTTGTATAGAATGTACCCCAATTCACCAGTTGTCTTTTCCCTTTTGTGGTTTGATATATGTAGTGTGAAGGAAATACTGGAAAGGTACCATTTGCACTCGAGTAACCTTGACAAGTTCGAGCAACCATCACTTGAGCTGCAGGTATTCTCTTTCAGTACTTAGACCTACTCTTTGTTTCAACTCTAATTATTCTAACATTTAGTCCGTTTATAGCTGAAATTGTGCAATTTGTTTTCGAAATGGTTGACTGTATATCCCAACAATGATGAGGTCCACCTACTGAATTGTTTTATTATTTATTACATAACTGGGGTTTTGGCCAATATGGTTAAAGTAATCGAAATGGATACAATTATGGCTATGTCTCTATTTAACTCAATTATGAGTAACAGCTGCGATCTTTGGTTGATGAATTGAATGTGGTTAAAAAACTTTTAGTGATACTATTAGGACTATGTATATCTATGATATGTAGATTATGTCTATCAGTATATTGCACTTAGATCATCGTTATGATTGAATTGAGTAACTTTGTTGAATAGTGTTCTTGGAATATTATTTGTGAGTTGCTCCACATTTATTAAATAGAGAAAATTGACGTAGTTTATAATCCGTGTGATCTGATTCTCTTATTACCAATTGGTTTTAAGATGAAACTTCAATAAGGTGGCAACTAGATTCACTCACTTGAGTGTGTTTCACCCTATAGGATCACATCCCTTCTCCCAATAGAGAAGCTGAACCTATTTTCTATACCTAATGACCTACTTGTCCCAGTACCTATTAATTTGGGGTGGAACCTTACTAAGTCAACAATTAGACTCTCTTAAAGTGCACTTCAACTCTATAGAAATCTGACTAATAGAATTAGCCACTTTAAAATAGAGGGGATTCTTCCTGAATTGCTTGTCTGCATAAGTTTGTCACACGAACCCTCGGAAATCCCTAAGTTTAATAATATGTTAATGTTTCTACATGCCTAATTGATTTTAAGTATAAATGTATTTAGATGCACCACGTTTCATATTTTTTGCAATTTAATCACCCTCTTTTGACTTTTCCAATTAAGCACAGCAAGTTTATAAATTTTACAAATCGAATAATGATGCACATTTCCGATGGTTGTTATCAAATCTCAAGTTTGAAAATTTTGATTCTCAAGTTGAACAGCAAAAAATGAATCAGGTTACACTTAAATCTCAGAACCAGGTATTAAAAGTTATGGACATCTATTTTTCAATATATTCAACATGAAATTAATAACTTTAATCACATATCAAAATCCGGCGACAATGTGCAAATGCAATATCATTTGTGATTCGGTTTGTAAAGTTTTAAAAATTGGTTCATTTACTTACATAAGTCGAAAACTGGTGATTGGATTGCAAAGACGTAAAAACTCATGCCTTCTAATTTAATTTAGCCATATATTATAACAACATATTGAAAACAAGCTTACAATAGGTCATCTATACAGATATGACAAGTTATAGAACTCAAAAGATCCTTTTCCCCGATACCATTTGTTGATTATTGTTCAACTAGAGATCTCTATTTTTAAAAAAAAATATAGTAACTAAGAAAATTGTGATATAACAGCTAGTTGAGGACTGCAACAGCGCCAGATTAAGCAAAGAAGTTGTAGAAAAATGCCATCAGCTTAGGTATATATACATATATATTCCTCATCATTTTGAGCTTTTTTACTGTGTAACATTATTTGATTTGTATTATTACAAAATATGGCGGTATTTTTTTCCTCTGAATAGGTGCATGAGAGGCGAGGAGCTTCAAGGATTAACTATAGAAGAGCTTGAGAATCTGGAGACAGCACTCGAAGCTGGATTAAGCCGTGTGATTGAGAAAAAAGTATGTATAATATTTCTTTGTTTAGCAAGTATATGAATTGTGTTTATTTTTTGCTGGAGTATTAATGTTTCCTGGTTGTCACAGGGCGAGAAAATCATGAAAGAGATCAATCGACTCCAAGAAAAGGTTTGTAGCTATATGGCAATATATACTGATGAACATGAAACATGTAACCTTTTTTTTAAACATGAAATGTTTAATGATTAGAAATAACTGCCCCGTTGGTGAATTAATTATTGTTAGGCAAATTTTGGACAAAAAATAATATGAAAGAATATAATATTATTATATTATAATTATTGCTAAATATAATATTTAAAGAGTTAAATTCAAATAATTCTCAAAATAATAAAGAAAAATCAGGGTAAAAATAAAATGTTTTGTCTATATTGCTTTGTCTTTATCAAAATAATTCTCAAATATTATTACATTACAACCCAGTTTTGTTTATATTGCTTCGTCTTTATCTATGTATAAATATAAAATGTGTTGTATGTAGTTGATTATTGATTACAATCTTTGTATGGGCACAGGGAAAGCAACTCATGATAGAGAATGCACGACTCAAACAACAGGTGAGAAATTATATATGTAAAAACAATCATTGTTTCTCCAACCCTAAAGCAAAGCAGAAAACGGATATGAAAAAATATATTGGGAAATAGATTATTTGGTCCCGTAATTGAACCTTTAATTGGTTGCCACTTTTCAATATTGGTTGCATTACTCTATTTAGATTAATTAGTCTGGGCCGAATTATATGATTTTAAAGGTTTACTGATCATGTATTGTTGATGTGTTTACTAATTTGATGCTTTATGGTTGCATGTCACATTTATCAGAAAAAAAAATGGGTATGAAAAATCCATTTTTCTCCTACATTTTTTATTCACACAAACTATGTTATGAAATAAACTTAATCTATGTGACTTATATATAGGTGGCGGATGAGTCGAACGACTTCGAATATAATGTGATGACAGATGACTCGGAGGATGTAGTCTACGAGGAAGGGCAGTCATCGGGATCTGTCAACGCCTGTGAGTTTAGCGACCCTCCACACGATTACGATAGCTTCGAAATGTCTCCTGAAATGTAGCCTCCAATAGGGTGAGCTTCATTTGTAGCCCTTGTGTTTCAACTCTGAATGGTAATACTAAGAGATTTTTGTGATCAATAATTATCATCACAAAGGTGCTTTGTGTTTATTTATTCTCTTCTGTGGAAACCACCATTAGTTTCTTGGATTACCATATATATTTGTCTTAATTCATAAAATTGTATTCTGAATCCACGCTGAATTGGACAAAGGAAGTATTTCCTTAAAATTGCAATTCTGAGGCCAGTCATTTTTAATTACTTTTTAAAGGGGGCATTTGCAATTACGAAGGGTAGATTGAGTTTCTGGGTTAGGGTGAAATTGTTCGGAAATTTTCGTGTTTATGATAGTTTTATTTTATCATAATGATGGAGAAAAAATATCGCTTATTGCCGTTG